TAGGGAAAAAGTGTTTTGAAAGAATCATTGAACTAAGAGGGTTATTTTAAAATGAAAAATAATACTTAAATCTTAGTGATTCAGCAGATACTCTCATTTAAACTAAAAAAATAATTTTGTTTATTTGTGGACTAACCACTCATACAAGAATTTAGTATGTCCCTTCGAAAGGATTATTAAGTGAAGTTTGTGTGTAGTGAATCTTGGAATATATTCTTAAAAGCTTATGACTATGGTAACTTTTTCATTTGTATTTGTAAAGCTTTGAACATTCTTTATGCCTGATAAGTTGTGTTGCAATTAACTTTGCCACCTGGGATAATATAGTAACTGTGCACACAGTGCCATTGCTGTCTGTTAGACTCATTCCGGAGTTGTTCTGTGTTTGCAGAGGGCAGCTCTCTTGTAATGATTTGCAAGGGCTGCTAAAATCACTGAATGGGAAGTGGTTGCAGAAGTTCTGAAATACTGGGTAATTCTTTTCCTTTCGCTGATAACAAGAATTGTGCCTTACGAAAAGAAATACCTTAAGCTTCCATTATAATGCTGTTTCCAGTTCAAAAGTGATATACATGTGTGTCTCTCTCTAATCCTCCGAGCTTCTCTCTGTGTATGATTTAGGGTTACATTCCGAAAAGCAAATGGGAGATGGACACTTCTGAGGCAAAGCTAGGTGGGTATTTATTTTTTCCTGTTTCTTATAGTTGGTATCTGATGATGTTTGCAAAACCTGTTTTTATTGTGCCTCCTTACCAAAGACAAATAAATGTATTGATCTCATAAACATGTCTGAAGCTGCAAAAGCATCTGTATGGAAAAGGAATTTGTCTTCTGCCAGAGGCAAGGGAGTTATGACTTTCTAACGATCGCTGTTTCATATAGGCATTAATTATTCTTCCATCTGTTCAAGGAAAGTACTTTGTCTTAAAATTTTAAAAAAGCAGTATTTCTATTCTTTATTCATCTCCTCCATGTTATAGAAAGCAGAGTCAACTTACGTTGCACTGCATTCTTGTTCATACTGCATACCTTTTTTTCAAGCCTAAACGTTGTCAGTAACTTCTTACTTTCTTGGAGACATGCCTAGTAGCTAACTGTATTGAAGATGTTTGTTGCTTTCCAAAATTGACATGTGTGAGGACAAAGTAATGCCATGCTTTGAAGTTGGTTCTGAATGATAAGACCTCAGTGTATCTGTTCAACAACTTAGGTGTTGAAAAGTTAAAAGTTCATTATGCTTTTCAGTTCCAGGAGAGTACTAGAACTCTTAGTAGGATGCACATGGACTTTCCAGGAGCACAAGGGCACTATTTTTGCTGCACTTTTTGTTCTGATTAGTGCTGCTGGTTGTGTTAGACATAGGTACTAATATTAGGATTCTGGCAACATCAAAAGCAAATTTCGGGCTGAAATGCATGCGCCACAGCTGTGGTGGAAGGTGTACACATGGAAAGGGGTTTCTAGTTATTATGATCAGTTTTGTTGTTTCGTTTTTATTTACTGAACAGTAATGGTTCTGAGTGAAGATTTTATCAATGCTATCTGCATAAAACTGCTATTTTCTGTCATGTCTATGAGAAGTAACAAATATCTGAGTGGGACACAGCATGTCTTAACATTTTGAAGTTTGCTCTGCATGTGTGGTACAGCCCTGTGTATCATTACTTTCCAATAACCAAACCCCCAATTGCACCATAGAAGTAGCATTAGAAGTTCTGGCTTACTTAAAGCAACCTTTTGCTGTTAACTGCTTAGCTGCACCATCTCTTCTGCTGCTCTGCTCTCTTTTAAGTCGTTTAAATATTTGTGGAATATATTGATGTTGTGGCACCTGCAGTACAACTGAAGGCCTGTACTCAGTGATTCCAGCATATCAAACAGCTAGGCAGTTAGACAGAATTAATTCAGGATTGCTCTCCATTTTTGTTTTAAGAGTTGATTGTTTTAATATCTTAAGATTATTTCTGAAGTTTGTAATGATTTTTTTTTTCCCCAATTATGTATGAAATCATAGTGCTGGAAAACTGCGTTGTTGAAGAATGCTCCGATACATGGTGTTGTATTCCAAATAACAGACTTCTTTAAATACGAAGTAGTAGGAACAGATGCGTTGCACTGCATATGGTGAAACCTCATCCCATGTGTTTTACAAATATGACAGGAGTCCAGAGTGTGTTCTAAAAGTATTGAAATTTTCTGTGTAGTTTCTAGCAATGTGGAGACTGACTGAAGCAGAAATTTACAGATAGCTTTCAAATTTTACATCTCTCATGATCAAATACTGCTAACAAATAGAAACAAAGAACTGTGTTGCATTTCTTTTCATATGAAAACTCCATAATATAAAACACAGGATTTTTATATGGTTTCCACTGAAGTGTAAAATGAGGAGTGAGCAGCAGAGTCAGTTTTATGCTGAAGTAAGTTACTTGCAAGGCTGATGCAATAATCCTTTAACAATCAAACTCCATTAACAAACTGGATGTTAGCATGCTGCAAGACACAGATACAGGTGCTGAGAAGGTCTTTATATTAAATCTCACTTACTTTTATAACTACCTTCTAGATTCACTTTTATAAGTATATAGAACTATAGATTTAAAGTAAATCCTGACAGAACATACACTTAAGTCAGGCATTCCTATGTAATGAATGCTGTTTCTTTGAAAAATTGCTCTGCAAGGGCAGACAACTTTTAGCTCAAGGTATGCAATATAAGCACTTGCAGTCTGTGAGTAAGAATTATTATATTTAATTCACAATAAGACTTTGTTGTAGATGACCAATTAAAATTATTTCCTGAAAGGCATGTAAACTGTGGTATACATTTGTTATTCCAAAGTTGAGTTAATTTCCTAGGAGCTGGCCTGCCCATTAGGTTTATTGTGTTAGTCCCAGAGGGCAGACATTTGCAGAAGTGATACAAGTGCAGGATCCAAAAACAACACTGGAAGTCTTGTTTTGCTTTTTTGTTTTCCTTCTGGCTAGATGTTGTTACAGGAAAGCACAGTAACATCTTACTGATTGTAATAAGCCTCAGAAAAGGTCTGAAAAGTTTGAGTTCTTTAGCTGCAACACTGACTTGTGACAATCACAGTACCGTACGCCGCAGAGCTCTTGCTTCAGTTCAGATTTACTTTGGCAGGGGTGATACATTCCTTGGAGTATGTGTGTGGTATATAATTTCCTTACGTGTTGTGGGTGCACAGCCACATTTTTATTCTAAAGTCTAATCACTGGTCTGTCTCAGTGCATAGTGCACACGGGTTCTTGTATTTAAATTTACAGAAATGGAGTCACATTTTTAAAATTCGATTATATTTGAAGTGTTTAGTGCAATACTGTGTTTCAAAATGCTGCTCAGTGATAAGTTCTACAAACTTTCAGGAAAGGAGAAATGAGCTCTGGCATAGCTGAAGATTTGATACCATTGCAAAATCTGCTCTAAAACGCAAATAACATTTTACTTAAAACTTTGTGGCTTTTGTATAAGAAGGGCAAAAATTTAGCTGATTGATTCATTTCATTTTTGAAGGAGCTAATTAAGTCAGTTACCTCCAGATGCTTTATTGTTAAAATTCTAAAGGTGAGTTTTTAAGTTCTGCGGGTTTTCAGAAATGCTGCTGTTTCGTTGTTTTTAAAATTGAAATAGTAAAATGATGTTTGATAGTTTAAATAATCATCTGCCATAAAAATTCACGAGCACCATTGTTTCAAAATGACACCTTGTCTCATTTCCAGAAAAGAATATTCTGAAATAATGCCTTGTGGTAGACTTCTGACATTTCTGTAGTGTGTCTACCACATGGCACATGTACCTTGAACCACAATAGTATGGATGGAAGCAGATCTCTCTGGAAAGGCAATCCAACTTCAAACGTGGAAGGAGATAACATTTTAAAATAAATTCCATGTAGCAGTAACAAAAATGGACAGAGGGGAACCTCATACTCTGAATGCCTCCTGAACTCCTCTATTGATGTTTGAGAGTTACACATTTCTTGGCAATGTTTTCAATTGGTCTGTGTGCAGCAGGGAGTGGGAGACTGAACTCTTTCATCCGCATCGGTAATGAGATGAGCTTGCATTGTAGCATGTTGCCTTCCAACAGGAATATGTCTGTGTACAGATACTTGCCAACAGAGAGCTCCTGAATTTTCAGTTCTTCATGTTCCTCAATGCTCTTCAATGCGTTTGTTGCTCTCCTTTTCAATGTTATTTTTTTTCTGGAAACCGTTATGCTACAAATGATCAACACTGATCTGAGAGTAATACTGAAGAATAGTGCAAGTACATTATGTGCTGGAGTAACAGAGGAATATTGTATATATCAATTTTGTCTTCTAGAGGGAGTGCCGTCTTTCTGTGGAGATGGAGCTTCAAATTTGGCAGATTTAACTTAGAGCAAGAGAAGATCCTTAACTGAATCATGTAATGAGATATCATGTGACAGATACAAATATTCTGCACAGTTTTCTTAAATGTTGGCTTTTTTAACAGGCAGAGGGGGATTAAAATGTTTTCATAGAAGAAATTCTGTATCTGTTCCAGGGAAATGGGGCAAAGGTGGAGTCTTTAAAAATTTTACAGTTGTATGAGGGAGAAATTACTTCGTTAGTTTCTGGCATTTAAATTATACTAGCATGTCTACATAACCATTGCCTCACATTATCTCCATTGTTGCTCTTTTCTCTCCCATATTAAGTAAAAAAACCCCATCTCTGAACTGAGCTGCTTTAAATACATACTCTTGAACATCCCTTGTGCTATCCAGAAAATATGCTGCCTTGTATTTGGTTTATTTCTGAGGCCTTTTGGGGGTGAATTTAATTACATCAGTGACTTCTGAAACAATGTTACTGACATCACTGGAAATGGTTTACAGAATATAACTGCGAAGCTTAGCATTCCTTCTGCATATACTTGAATTGTTGGTTTATAAAATGGTAGCATACATTGACAGAAGTACTAGGATTTCTTTTGACTCGTAAAGCCGTTTTTCATTTTCATGCTTTGTTGTTCATAATCTTACAATGAGTACTTCATCTCCTTTCCAAAAGCAGATTGCCATGTAATTTCAAGAAAGTGTTTTTTCACTGAAAATAAGTGTCCAAAGAGGAACAAAATTTTAGAACCTATGAATGGAATTGTTTCTTCTCATGCCTTATTGGTTCAGTAAGAAAAAGAAGAAATTATGACTGTTGGACAAATGTACTGCTCAAATATTCATGACTGACCTCTTACACCATGAAACAAAAGATTCTGAGAGGGTTTTTTTTTTCAGTTCCGAAGACTTTTTTGAGTGTATTTTCCTTGTGGGGAGAGAAAAAGAAACGGGGGAATCAGGGTTTCCAAGGAGCTTTTTGTTGAGTAGAAACAGTATCTCAAAAACTTGTCTTTGATGCATTAAATTATGTGATCGTTACTTGTTCCCTGATACTGCATGTATGCCACATTTGACACACTATTAAACCCCAAATTTGGGAAAAATGCTACAGCTTTAGTATTGTGTTCAGATACAGAAAGATGGATTTGTGGTTCCTAGCTATTGGTGGCTATATTGTACCTGTAAGGACAGACTCCATGTAGTCTGAACGTCCAGAAGAGCAAGCTTTTCTCCCTCATACAAATTACAAGACTGAGTGTTATTGCCACACAGTTAATGTGAAAGATCAATAAAACTTGAAAATGGTGCTGAGTCTTCTCCAGTTTATTTCGACTCCAATCATCCCACCTGTCAAGACAAGCTGGATGTGCAAGTTCTGCTGCTCATTCTTTTGAAAATTTTTCCACTCTCGTCTTGTTTGTGTGAATAATAGAAAAAAAATCTCCTTTAACTCTGAGGCTCTGTGTTTGTTCTCAGACAAGCTGGATGGTTTGCGGACTGGCACTAAAAGGAAACGTGACTGGGAAGCAATTGCCAGCAGAATGGAAGATTACCTACAGCTTCCAGATGACTATGATACACGTGCTTCTGAACCTGGAAAGAAAAGGGTAATACATTTTCAAATGACTTACTGTCTTTGTATGACCGTTTAATGGTCTCTGTGAAAGAGTTTATATCAAGTCATTCAGTGTCTATGAATATGGCAATTTCACTGACTCACTTTTCATTTTGCTGTTCCATTAGATTCTGTAAGAGAATATTCTTGAGAGTAGGGTCTTCCAGAGGTAAATAGATTAATTATAACAAAGTGAGGAATTGTAGATAATAAAGATTGACTATGCATGGCATGGCTTTTGAGATTGAGAATGGAATCGTGTCCCATTTCTTCATGGGGGAGATGATGCACTTTGTTTCAAAGCAACCAATAGAGTCCTTTTCTTATGCTATATGTTTTGTGATGAGATAATGTGATATACAGTGCAGATTCCAAGACAAGATGATGATTTTATTAAGCTATTTTTTGTTAGGGCTTGTAATAAATAGGCAGAGAAACAGTACACTGTTCTTAAGTTCAAAAAGTTTCAGCTAAGGAAAGTATCAACTTTGTAGGTTTTATATTGATTAAGTCTTGTAGATGTTACATCCTGCATATACCTTGCATAAAGCTTGGGAGTTGGTGTATAAGAAGTTGACTTCAACTGCTTTATATGTTCTGTTCTGAACACACAATGCTACATCTTCAAATACCATTGTGAAAAAAAGGGCAAAAAAATCAGAGGAAGATGAAAAAGAGGTAATAGGAAGAGATAATCCTGGGGGGGGTGGGGGGGGGG